AGGTTGGTCTTGACATTGGCTGTCATGAGGCCATTATAACTGTTTAATGACAAATTCAATTTGTACCACTGTAGTTGAAGTCACGAAAAATATTCATGACACAGTTATAATGGCCTTATGACAGCCAATGTCAAAACCAACCACATGACAGTTTAACTTACTTTAATGTCAAGTTGTCATGACAAAGACACTGACAGGTTATGATGTTATGGTTTATGTCAAGATGTCATAACAAAGACATCTTAAACAATGTCATATTTGCATTCAAAATGTCATTATTGACCGAAAGACACTTAATGACAGTTGTCATAAACATGCATAAACCCTACTTCATATTCATGATATCATGTCATGGTTATGAAGGTGTCATGTCAGTCTTATGTACACCCCTTCAAGTAAAGTGTTACCATACTAATTATCCGTTTTAACCACTTGGAGGAATTGGCATACGTTCCCTTAGGGATCATGCGCTGTAGTAGCGCGTCAAAGCTTTCTGGAGTATAAATATGCAGCTATAATGCACGTAGGTGATTTTGAATTAATAAATGTCGATGTACAATGGTTGGCTAAATACTGTTAAAACTAATCGTGGTGTATTTTTAGACTGCTGACTCTATAGAACAGTGCCATGGAAAACTAACTTCACCGCGCTCCAAAAGACCACTAGTGGTCGGGAGCATTTCCGTTGTGTTGCGGCTTTATTTCGTTGTGTTGTGGCATGTTTCCGTTGTGTTGCTTTTGTCACTGTGTTGTGTTTTCTTTTTACATTTCGTTGTGTTGTGCACTACTGGGCCACCGTACAAACTGGTTTCTTGAACATGACAATGAGTTCACTATATTCAAATGGCATCCACAGTCACCAGATCTCAATTCAATAGAGCACCTTTGGGATGTGGTGGAATGGGAAATTTGCATCATGGATGTACAGACAACACATCTGCAGCAACTGTGTGATGCTATCATATAAATATGGACCAAAATCTCTGAGGAATGTTTCCAGCACCTTGTTGAATCTTAAGGCAGTTCTGAGGTCAATAGGGTCCAACCCCTGTACTAGTAAGGTGTCTCTAATAAAGAGGCCAGTGACTTTATATACATAGTGGAACATAATTCATTTTGTTGTGTCATTAGGTGAAAAGATCCAGAAAAGTCCCTTCCGTGATTAAATATGGAAAGTATGTCGATAGCGCAGCTATTAGAGCATTCATGTATGGAAATCAATCTCGAAAGCCAGTCATAATTGCTCAGCACAACAACATTAGGTTTAGTTGTATGCAAATACATATAGAAACAAATTTAGGTTTCTCATTTGGATCCTCCACATAAAAATAGTAGATGAATGAAAAATGGAACGGATAAGAGATTTTTGTGTGACCTGGAGCTCCGTTAATGAGGCCAAAGGAGATGAGCCTGCAGCAAACCAAAGCCGTTTGTGCGGGGAAGAGACACAGAGGTACTCACAGAGTACACTGCGTTTCCAAGTCTGCATCTCAGGAGAACACACACAGTATGCAAAAGAGGGGATCTTGGAAGACGATCCCTTCAGCACAAAGGGAACTTTCTGATGAGGGGTTCCTATCTAGTGAAACCTGTTTCACAGTGGCAGATTCACAAAGACAATGCCAGACCAAAATAAATTACACAAGATGCCTTGTTGTGCATAAGAAAATGATGTTTTGGACAATTATGAAAAGCTCCGTAATACTGTGGGTGGAAAATATTAATTATGACATTTGCTTCTTTGCTGCAACTCCCTCTTGCACGATAAAAGAACTGAACTGTAGGCACACAGAGCTGCTGATAGTGATCAAAGCATGCTAGGAAAGATGTGTGTGTGTGTGTGTGTGTGTGTGTGTGTGTGTGTGTTGGGGGTCTGCCCATGTAGTGCAAATGGGGTTAATCTGATTGGTCAATATCTCATGGTCATAGTAACAGTAGCTATTGCTTGGCAGATCGGAAAGGATTGATTACTGTGACGTGAAAAGGATTCACACCCGTTAATATTTCAATTGAGAACTGAGGCACGTAATCTGCTTTAAATACATCATCCCATAATGAGTGCAATCTCATCCTCATGCCGAGGTTATTATTTCACTGTGTGCAGGAACAGTTTGGCAGCTAAATGAGAACTTGGCCGGTAACAGCATTTTAACATTTTCACAGCGTGACCGGGAAAACCTCTAGCAGCGGGTGTGTGTCACAGCAGAATTCCGGCGCAGGAATAGGCAAGGTTGTCGAGCGGTTTGCTCAACCTACAACCTGATTAATAGGTGCCATTAAGCCAAAGCCCAAAGCTGTGAGTTACACCAAACCAGCACCCATCTCTTGAACTCAGCCAATCCATTTACAGCAGACAGATTTAATGTTTTTAAGGCAGTGGAACAGAGGGGACTAAAATGGGAATGCTGTGAAATAGAACGCAGAGTTCTCCGGCATTTTGACCAGGGAAATCCCATGACATTTCCAATCATATCTTATTTAAAGCTGAAGTCCTTAGCTTTTTCCCTTTTTGTCGCCATCTCTGTTCGAAATCTGTAACTGCAGTGATTCGCGGAATTATCATCTTTACGTGGGTTGTAAATCGGCATGAAACAGCGTGGATGAACACAGTGCTTTGAGGCGAGTGGTGCTGTCAGTCACCGCGCTGTGTGGATACTGTCTTTCAGAATCACAGATTCACTTTTTGAACGTTTGACCAACATAAGAATTTTCATCGGAAAATGTCTTCTGAACAAGTAAGTAACATCCATTTTTGTTCTGACCAACTAAGGGGGAAAAAGCATTCGACATGACAAGCGATCGTTAGATTTAATCAACGCGATTTACAGCAACCGTGCAAATTATAGCCTACTTTGTTCTCAAATTGTTCATGTTAACAACATCAGCATTGCGTGACTAACGTTATTTAATGTGTTTTATGATTACCTGTGTAGTTCAGAATTCATATTATCCATAATAGCTAAACAAAGAAAGGCACAACAAAGGAAACTCCATAACTGTGTGAATTAAGAAAACGTACTGTTACACGATTGAAATGTCTTACTTGTTCAGCAGAAAAAGCTGTCTCTTCTTCCGTTTCGAACCCCTTCGGGAGTTCACGCACCTTTCAAAAGCCCCACCGATGTGTATCCTTGTGTTCGCATGAGACGGTTTCTTTCTCTTTCCACCTTAAATCCGAAGTACGAAGTCTTTGGGGTTTTATAACTGCTGAATCTCCAGTTGACACTGATGATTGTTGTTTGGATCTTTCTGGATCCGCCATAAGTTTAATCATGTAAAGTGCTGCGAGAAAAGCCTATCTCTACATCTCCTCACGCGCAGTATAGCCGGCTAGCCGAAACTCCTTCTTTAGGTGTACGGGTGTGACGTAATGACGCAAAGACATGCTCGAATTTCCCGCGAAAACCCACCAGTACCACTGGAATTGAAATCATTGTTACAAGCTAACCGTTTTGAATCTAGCTATGGCAAGCAGATAGTTTTGAACACTGGCTGAATATGTTTTTTTTTTTAAATAATAAATTTTATTTATTTTTAACTTAAAAAAGTTACGGACAGCAGCTTTAAAAAGAGACTGATGTGGTAGAAAACAAGTTTTATTCTTTAGTTCCAGAATCGTACCTGTAAGGCACAATATTGCCATCATATAAAATTAAAATAAAATTTTTAAATAATTGTATCCCTTATAAGGCAATGTTGCTTCAGTATGTAAAAAAAAAAAAAAAAAACGATTGAATACAGCTATAAAGTATTTAAAAGCTCAGTTTAAAAAGTCACAGTATTTTTAGTTCCAGGCTGAAATAAAGATTGATGACAAGTCTTTAAATACATGCTTTCTTCACTTACCCAGCATGCCCTTTTATATAAGATTAAGCAGTAGACCAACAAAATAATTTGAATACTGTTATTTTTTTAATTTATAAACATGATCATAGTGAATGAGGGAAAATACAAGTAGGATTGTGTGTATTTTTAAAATACTGCATAATGTGCAGGTTAATATTCCCTAGAAAACACTGTGGCACTACCAAAACATTGCTCTGTATTTGAGTACTATTTTTGAGATCTACTTCAGAAGACTGAATATACTGCATTTTTAATGGATTTTTTTTTTTGGAGCATTACAGCCATTATAGAGCGCAACAGTGCCCGTCCACTTTTTCAGCTGAGTTGTTTCCTGAGGTATTTTTTCCATTTATTTCATCCATTGCGATTTCAAAAAAGTCTTTGTTAAAGCATTATACGCCATGAACCAAGCCAATTAGCTACGAGGTGAATCATAACTTTAAAAAACTTTGATTTGAAGAAAAAAGTATTTGAAAATCGGACAGGTAAAAGACTGTGAACTGAACGGCTTTAGAGATAGAAAGAACTACAATCCCATTAAGCTTTGCGAACAGCATAATCAATTTAATAAACACTATTTTAAGTTTATTGCAAAATATGCATTTATTTAAATATTGAAGTATTTTAAGAGCATGGGGAGGCCGACTCGATTATGTAATTCGCAGTGCTTCATGGGAGTGGGAGTAGCTAACGAGATCTTTTGGCATGTTTTGCTTGTTTCGACTCTCAGATTAGTTGAATTTTCTGTACAGCATCATGGGTAAATGTAGTTTTTCACAAATTCTGCTGTTCAACAAGATTATTTTAAAAACTAAGTTGAAATAATGATTTACAACCTCATAGCTCACAGTAAGGCTGTCTTTAAAGGTTTATAAGTTATAGTTAAAAATCCGTTTCCCTATGGATAACCGGACCCCAACTGTTGCACTCTATAAATTCATGATCTGGAAATGAGCAGCCTGAATATTCTGCTAAATTACTCGATCGATGTTTTGAGCAGCAGAAGAGTAGATGGTGACAGAATTTGAATTTCTTCATTTCAAAAGCCACGGCTGTATACAAAAACACACAACATCTTGCAGTATTCACAGGGATGCCGTCTCACTGAGAACACGTGAATGTGTTCTCACTGACAACATGTGAATCAGTCTTACCTTTGCAATCTGCACGCACCAGTTGAGCAGCAGCTGGGAGCCGATGTTCTCCTGGTGCTCATGTACGTAGTCCAGCAGGCAGCCGTGGGGCATGAGCTGAGTTACCAGCTGAATAGTGGGACTCAAGCAGACCCCCAACAGACGCACTAAATGAGGATGCTCCATGCTGGCCATGATCAGCGCCTCCTGGAAGCCAGAGACAGAAAAGATCAGGTCACTGCTGAATTTTGAATTATGGGTTGCACTTCTGGTTTGGGGAACTTCCACTCAAAAAGACTGAAACAAATCTTTCAAAACAATGCGATACAAATAATCCTCATCTGCCAGTTTGACTGTCAATTTCCCTTCCCATTTAATTTTCAGACGTCAGAAGAATAACATAATGGTATTTTAATGTGATATGGTATCACAAGAAAATATATGGTATCATTCACTGCATTCTTTTCCTCCTGAATATTTTCTTTTTCCCCTTTTTCCGCTGCAACATTATGAAAAGAGACAACATATCCAGCTCATTTTTGGCCTGCTCTCCCGGTTTAATTTATGATATATCCCATGAATAATTCACTGGAATGCACTATAAGATTCTCTCATTTTTCTCCCCAAATCCTCACATCTCTTTCCAGGTGTTTTCACACGGATGCTTTAAAATGTAATTGTCTCCCCTTTTCACTCCTTATCCCTATTAGCAGTGTTTACTGGAATGTTTCTAAAGCAGGTAAATACAATATTTGTTATCTGTCAAAATGACGGAAAGCACTTTGAGATATTATCACTCAAAGCTAAAGTTAATGAACATTTTTGATTAAGGCAACATATTTTACATTATACAGATATATATCGCTACAGTGATTCTTAACACGTCTGTAATATTGCTGCGGAAATAATCAAGCTTTCGGGGTTATCCGTGGTCTGTTCTAGTAATTTGCTTTTACACTTTTAAATTTCCTTTTAATGTTTGATGGTTGAAGGGTGACTAGAATAATGTCACTTCATTGTACATTGCTTATTATTGTGTTCATAGAGCGAACCCTTCACTGATTGTTTACAGTTTAACGGAAGTTACTCCCATAATTTGCATAAAGCATCATGGGGTGTAGGAAAAAGGTGCATATAAAGCATAACAAGTCTCTCTGCAAATGCCATTCTACTCTTGCCTCCTACAGCGACGATGACCTCCATTAGTGACGGCTGGCCTGTCTTACTCAATTAGCCATATGTTTCAAAAGTATATACAGTTTTATGTGTTACAACGAAGACAGGGATGAGTAGCTCTGCATCTTGACTGCTTATATGTATGTCCACAGATAACAGAACACACAGACACGCACAAAGGGATTCCCAGGCAATCACAGTCAGCCGCAGCACGTGAGGCCACGTTTTGATGGCTTTTTAAAGGAACTTGACCTCTCTCTCTGAATTTTGAACTGATATATGACTGATCACTGTTATTGAACTGTTGTCTCTGCAGATCATCCCTTCCTATTTGCAATACTACTTTACTATATTTAAAGTCGAGGTAAATTACATTTACAATTCATGTTATGTCTGTAATATGATGCATTTAAGTATATTAAAACTATATAGGCTATTTAAAAAGATCTGAATGTGAGCCAGCTCAATGGAAAGTATGGTTGTTCAAAAATAATAGTGTATTTATTATTATTGCCATAACATTTATTATTCAAACTGACACTTTGATTACTTCTGTAATGGGCTCTATGCACGGCGATATTTCCGGTGAAGGTCTAAGGATGCTGGATTACTTCCGCCGATCGTAGAGTCCAATGCTATACTGAGAATTTATATTGGTTTTTATACTCTATTGCTATACTAAAGAAACGTTAGTCACAAAAACAGACAAAACAGACACCCCTCATTTTGTTTAAATGCTTCTTTGTTTATTATATTAAATAAACATAACTATATATAAAATTACATCTAAACGTATTAAAGTTTCGTTTCAAAGACGAGAGGACAGTCAATTTTGAAGACTCTGCTATAATCCCGTTTTCCTCAGTTTTCCTCCACTTTTAAATCTCCCCAACCGGAAACGCAAGAGCATCCTTGCATCAAACGTGGAAGTTATGCGTGCATATAGCCCATTATTATTAGAATTTTGGAGACATTATAAATATCTTTACTGTCAGTTTTGATCAATTTAAATGCATCTTAAAAAATATATATTTTTAAAAATATCTTACTGATCCTAAACTTTTCAATGGTAGTGTTTTGAGGTATTGGTTAACATCATTCAATAGTCAGCCAAAGACCTGTTTCAGAGGTGAAGGAATATATAACATTTTGATCAAATTTAACGAGGGTAAAAGTTTTTTTTCTTTTTTGGAATAACATGCACCAAATTATGCAAAATTAAGACCAGGAATGTGTATTTAGAAAGTACATTTATTTTGTCACAACATTAATAGCTAAATTGACTGAAAAAGCAATTATAGTGGTATTATTAAAAGGTAGTTAACTCACATCCATAAACTCCACATTGGCTTTAGGTCCTGTACTTTCATTGAGTATCTTTATAGCCACTGGAATCTTCACTGTTTCCCCTTCTGGAACCCAGATTCCCTTTAAAAGAAGACATCAGGGTCGTCAATAACACCTCAAATCATATACAATCACGAATGCTGATAGGTAGACACCCCAATGCACACAAAACTTAGAGGTGCTACCTTATAAACCATGCCAAAGGCACCAGCTCCCAGAATCTTGACCCTCTTGAGCTCAGTTTCCTTCAATATCCGCAGCTGAGCCTGGTTTGGAGCTGTACCACTGGGCGTCAACGGCTCCACCAACTGCTTAAACAACACAAGTCTTAGATCAGTCACAACGTTTGAATGCACAAATACACAGAGCCCCAAAACAAGCTCTTGGAAGTTACATTTAACCATATTTTTGGGACTAAATGTGTTTATGCAGTATTTATTGGGCCTCAAGAGGGAAAGAAAAGATGTTACTGGATATTTGGAGAGTAAACAGTTCTGAAGGAAGCTTGTGAAGATGAGAGGGGTAGGGAAGAAGGAAAGGTTGAGTAGAGACATAATTGCAAAATACAAAGTGGCATTTGTAGTTTCATTAGGGCAAGGAAAAAAAGTGTGTGTGTGTGTGTGTGTGTGTGTGTCAGTCTTGGACTCGTTTAGTTGCTTGTGCTCAACAATAAACAGATTGTAAACCTGTCGGGAAAAAAGAGCCAGTGTTCTTCAGATAATTTGACTGTTAGGAAATTAAAATGTAAATAATTTTTTTAAAGTAAACAGTAGTGTGATGAGAGGTGTTAGATTTAACTGACAACCAAAAGATTGCAGGATCAAACCCCATAAAGGTTGATCCATGAGGTACCATCATTGTGTCTCCAGTAAACTGGCAAATTTTAAATTGTTGGTTGATCTTTAATCTTCATATTCCATAACATATGATTTTGTTTTCTTTTGTGGATCCCAAATGGAGAACTTTAGCAGAATGTCTAAAGTGCTCTTTTCCAACGGATAGAACTCGCTACCGAGCTCCAAATATGATTTAAAATAAAATAATGTAATATAATATAATACATACAAGTTATGCAGAAGTGTAGTGTGAACATTCTGCTAAACATCTGTGTTACACAGAATAAAGAAAGATTTATGGGTTTAGAATGACATAAGTTGAATAAATTATTATATTTGGGGTGAACTATTCATTTCAGGTTTCTACAGGGGAATTGTCTCTCTAATAAGTGCTTCAAAATAAATTGAACTTTGTTGTTGGTTTTTTTCTGAATTAAGGAATTAAACCCTTGATAGCAGTTTCACAGACAGGGCTTAGATTAAGCCAGGATTAGACCTTAGTTCACTTAGAACATTTAAGCTTTTATAAACATTCATTAGAAAAAAAAAACATAACTGGTGTGCATCTTGAGACAAAACAATGACACTGACATATTTTAAGATATGTCAGTGCAAGTTGCTAACAGCTCAAACATGCATTGTAGTCTGGGACTCTTAAAACTTGTCTGTTAAACCGGGGGCTTATTTATGTTCTTATTTATGAGAAGAAAGAATCTCTCATCACACCCCATACAAACAGCCCACTCAGAACTTTCAATCTTACCTAATGAAAAAGGCATTTTTATAGTGACATTTTAACAATCTATAAACATGTAAATTTGGTTATCCATCATCAGGACTAACAGGTCATTTAAGTGACCAATCACAGCACAAAACAGAAGGCTGTCACTTTTGTCTGGTTTTATGGATGTGTCGACTGAACACACACAATGTGGAGCTGTCCATCTCTGTGGTGCTGAAATACAGCATTTATACTGAGCATTTGAGGGAGCTGTCCAGATATGTGGTTCTGAAATAGCATTTGTCTAACATTCACTGTTAAAGGACAGTGTATGGGTAGAATGATAATATAGAGCTTTCCTTTCTGCTTAAGTAAATGAGTGTTTCAGGTTCAATATATCTATCAACAGAATTTTAAATTCTCTCAGTTTAAGCAAAAAAGCGTTAAAACCCACATACAATGGAAGTATATGGGGAGAGGCATTCAAAAGGCTTTAAAGCAGGAATGGGCACACTCAAAAAAATGGTTTTGTGGCTCTGTTATTTTTACCTTAGAATGTTTTGTTAAAGTAACACACATATATTTATTTTACCACCAAAACACTATTGTATTGCATTTAATTAACTTAACCTGTCACTCAAAAAAATGACTCTTTAAACTTACTCAATTTAATTATGGACAGTGGTTCCACAAAAGCACATTATTTTTTATTAACATTAATGGAATTTGTTGAATCTATGTAAGCTCCTTGTGTTGTGACAACACAACTGAATCAGAAAGAATCTATGTGAAATAGTAATGTCCAAACAAATCAATGGAATTGCTTCCCTGTAACTGATACAGACTTAACTGAACCGATATAGACTTTCATCGAACCTTCGTACAAGGTTAAAAACTAGTTCAAATGTGGCCATTGTGGACATATTTTCAACATCTTTTATGGTCTCATTTAGACAGAATTACTTTGACTATTGCTGTCAGATGATCTTAGTGAGAATTATCAGAAGATTATTAGATATTTAGATAGTTGTTTCATTTGAAGTGTCACCATTGTGGTGATCAGTGTTTGCTTTAGTTGGGCTCTTGGTCCCTGTAGATTTTACTTAAAATTTCCATTGGCTACTGTAACTGTGTGTTTGTATAACACAATTGTTGTGGCAGAGCAAGCCAAGAAAAAGTTAGATCAGGTGTTATCAGCTCAATGTTGATGATGACATAATCATCACAAATCAAGTTTCAAATGTTTAGTTTAAAATTGTATTTATGTTTGGCATTACCAACCTTGTGGAAGTGCAATATTGGTGCCAATAGAATAAGAAATATTTTTAAAATATAAAAAGCATGTGCACATGATTTTTGGAGCGAATGTATTATGTAGTCACACACAGACATCATGATTTTGGATATGAATCACAACAACGGTGACAATCAAAACAAAAAAGCTTGGGAATCAATGATGAGTTTTGAACTATGAATGCTACCCATCATGCATTGCAGCATGACCATTTTTTTCAGCAGCCACAGTAAAGCTAAAGTAAAAATTAAGGGGACTAAGAGCCCAACTAAAGCAAACACTGATCACCACAATGGTGACACTTCAAATGAAACATCAACATCTAAACTTCTGTTAATTCTCACTAAGATCATCTGACAGCAATAGTCAAAGTAATTCTGTCTAAATGAGACCATACATGATGTTGAAAATATGTCCACAATGGCCACATTTGAACTAGTTTTTAACCTTGTACGAAGGTTCGATGAAAGTCTATATCGGTTCAGTTAAGTCTGTATCAGTTACAGGGAAGCAATTCCATTGATTTGTTTGGACATTACTATTTCACATAGATTCTTTCTGATTCAGTTGTGTTGTCACAACACAAGGAGCTTACATAGATTCAACAAATTCCATTAATGTTAATAAAAAATATTTTGCTTGTATGGAACCACTGTCCATAATTAAATTGAGTAAGTTTAAAGAGTCATTTTTTTGAGTGCAGGTTGTATTTTTTATGCCACTTTTGTTAATTCTTTAGTGTGAAATTGATCTGTAAATTTAGCTACACTTTCAAAACATCTCTGAGGTAATCGGCAAACATCCGGGTGGTCTAGACCTCTCCTTTTCTTATTCTTGGCAGAAACGCATCACTTTCTACTTGAACAGAGGTCTCAGGTTTGCTAAAACGGATTTCAGGATTCTAGTGCGTGAGTGTCTCTGTCAGCTTTTGGATACAGGGCATCTTCTCAAGCTGACAGCTGTCTATAACACTGTTGCTCCACCTGCAAATTATCCAAACCAGCATAGACAGGCCATGTTTTTTAATAGGCTGCACAGTCATTCAGGGCAACAGGGCTATGCATTAACCCAACAAACCTGCCACACATTTAAGGAAGGCCCTCCGCTGAATACTTTATGTGCTGTATGCTGGGGATTTTTTAAGCATGCACCTTACCAAGAAACAAAACGAAAAAGAAATGAAAAACCTGTGGACAGGGGAGGACATTGATGCAAGGTGACAGACAGAAGAGACACAAGATATGATGCATAATGTATGAAATGTTCCTGTTTTAGTGAGTGCTTACTCATTTACTACACATTTGAGAACAGGCCTCTCTCACCTCAGTCTCCAGGAAACGGCGCAAAGCTCTCTTTTTCTTAATGCTCTTTCTGCGGATGTAAACGGCCACACCAAGAGCTACGATGACCATCACAAAGAGAGCCCCAATTAACCCAGCCGCAATCAGAGGAGTCCTGGAAGATCAAAACAAAATAAGTTGTAACGCTATGAGTGTTTTTTTCCCCCAAACCAGTTGAGCAAAAACCCACCCACATAGCACTATAGAAAAATATTTGTATTATATTCTATTAGGTCATTATTAATTTTTTTTTATAAATATCCTTTATGTGATCAAATATATCACATTAATATAATAGAGTAATAATAGCTTTTATTTGCTTTTTTTTTTTTCAAAATTATCCTTGACCAAAGTTGCATTTGTGTCCCTTACCTGTCCAACATGCCAACACAATCTTGCACTCGGGGTCCAGTACAACTGCAACACAGACAATTATATTGATTTATAATCAACATTTGAGTTATATTGCAACAGATTGGTAGATTAAATTATTTATGGTAGTATTTCTTATCCTGCATTTAATTTATTCAAATAAATAAAAAAGAACAAAATGATTATCCTTTTTCTTTTTTTTTTTACTGTATTAGAGCAATAATAATCTGATATACTCACAAAGACCAGATACATTACAGTTATGGTAATATGAAAATTGGGTTCCACTTTATTTCGATAGTCCACTTTAGACATTCTACTAACTACATGTCAACTAACTGTCACTAGAGTATTAGTAGACTGTCAGTAGACTGTTAGGTTATGGTTAGGTGTAAGGGTTCGGGTTAGTACAATAAGTTGACTTGTAGTTGCCAAGTTACTTATAATCAGTAGAATATCTGTTAGGGGACCATCAAAATAAAGTGTTAGCAGATATTAAGCAGACAGTCTACTAATACTCTAATGACAGTTAGTTGACATGTAGTTGCAAAGCTACTTATAGTTAGTAGAATGTCTAAAGAGGACTATCAAAATAAAGTGTTACCGAAAATTGTGCTTACATGGTTTAAATAAATGCTTAAATAATGTCACAATGTGAAAAGAATACACTTTATTTTCTTCATGCAAAATACCATTTTCTTTTGATTTGAAATGTGACCGGGACACGTTTTCGTGAGATTCACCGAAGAGCATGACACTCTTAAAGTGACTATTACAAACTAAACACTCAAGCTACATGTTAATCATTTTTTTAATGTTTAATGTCAAAGACTTTTTTGTCCAATGAAAAATGTTGGCACAGTGTTAGGTGGACACTTGATGTCCAATATACAATCTGGGTCCTGCAGCAAAACCAGTTGCGGACCACTGATCTGTGGAGTCAGGAACCTGTTCTCTCCGCTCTCAAATCCCCCAGGCCCATGTGTCTAAGACTGAATGCGGTAAGCACGACAGCTTTACCCACATGGGCAATTAGGTTCGTGCTCTGGGCATATAGAGCTTGATGCAGTTAAAGGAAGGAAAGAAGCTTACAAATAGATTCAAGTGCAAACACAAGCAAACAGTCTTACCCCTGGGTGCAGTTGGGGTGGCAGGGATGGCACTCGTTGTTGGTCTCAGCATATTTGAAGATGAAGCTGTTTGCTCCCTGCAGACCATCAGGGCATTTCTCCACACAGTTGGGCCCATCTTTCAGATGCAAGCATTTCACGCAGTGATCTGGACCCTGTAATGGGAGAAAAGAGAAAGATAGAAGATTAGGAAATGTGTCTCAAGAGACTGCAGCACTGTTTAAAAGATGGAAAGGAAATTGAATTTAATCAAACAAGTACAGACGTGTAATATAATTTCAAGGACGCATCGTTATTTTGTATCTTCATACTGTTTCTAACACATTCAACCACAAAAACAACATCTTATGAAGTTCCCAGGCCAATTGACACCGACCGACAACAGACACTTCGTGGGATCAGTGAGCTTGTTTTCACCGATTGAACTTGCTGAATTGGAATTAGAATGTCTAAGGAAGTGACGTGCTGTAAGCTGGTGACTTTCGGTGTGTTTCGGCATCTGTCGGCACATTGTGAATTGGCCTCTAAAGGACTTTCTGGTCCCTAAATACAACTTATGTATCTTTTTTATATGCAGTCTGAAGCTGCGATGAGATTAGGGCGCATTCGACTCTGCCAGAAATCTAGGCTTTTCTGTTACAAGGTTATCAAGTTTTATTTGAAGCAAAATAAAATCCAGCAACAAAAGGTTCTCACGTGGCTTTTAGACTCTTACCGGGCCAATGCAGGTCAAACTTTTCTCTCCGGCTTTTTCACACTGGCTGTCACACTCAACACAAACTGAGCCATTGGCATACTCTCGAACATCCCTTGAACAGACAAAGAACAATGTGTGCTGAGGCATGTATTGGATACAGAATTTATTTACAACATGTAGTGTACTTTTTAGTGACCAGGGGCTAGTGTGATTAAGTCCAAATCTAGGTCAATTAACTAAACAGACATACAAGAAAAGCCAAACAAATCAATGTAAGTGGAAACAGCTTAAGGAGCTGTCAATGCTACTTTTTGATCTGTTTCTGTTGGTGATAGTTTCGTTGATAGTTTCATTGAGAGTATTAGAAAAGAGCAAAGGAAGAAAGCTTGTCGATTAAGACCTGAACGAAGCATCTAAGAAGTGAACAAATCAAACCTCCAGTGCATGAGTGCTCAAAGTCAAAACTGCAAGTTTTCATCCCACACTAAACATCACCCAGCCAATGCATGTCTCTAGCTGTGATTTGTATTGATTTATCTTCAAAATAAATGTATATGTCTCAATTTTAATATAAATGTAAAATATAAGCACGCACACACACACACACACACACACACACACAATGTTCTTGCCCTAAGGTACACTTGTAGGGTTAGCTTAATGTTACCTTCAATCTGTGAAATCCTGAAGTAAAACTTAAAGTGCCCCTATTTTGCTATTTTAAAGGCTCCTAATTTTGTTTTGGAAGTTTTTATTCTTTAAAGTACCGACAACATTTCTTCCAAATTCCAAGTAAAAACATGAACATTTAGAGCATTTATTTGCAGAAAATGACAACTGGTCAAAATAACAAAAAACAATCCCATGTTTTCAGACCTTGATGCAAAGAAAACAAGTTTGTGTTAATTTTTTTAACAACATGATGCTAATGTTTTAACGTCAGATGAGTCATATTGCTGTTGGGAGGCAAAAAAATAAATAAATCAAGCAGCTCGGCTTCGTTTGACAGATTGTGAACCTTGTGTCCTTCCTCTTGATCATTCCAGAGGTTTTCATTGGGGTTCAGGTGACAGGCCTGGAGTTTGGGCTGGCCAGGGTCTTGATCTGGTGGTCCTCCATCCCACCTAGAGCATTGGCCTGCAGGAAAAAACAATCCTTCGAGTTGGGGAACACTGTCAGAGACGAAGGAAGCAAGTTTTCATCCAGGATAGCCTTGCACGTGGCTTGGGTCAATAAATAAATGAAATGTTTTCTTTGCATTACTCGAGGTCTGAAAACGGTGCATATATACTGTATTGTTTATTATTATTTTGACCAGTAGTCATATTATGCAAATGCATGCTCTAAATGACAATATTTTTATTTGAACTTTGGAAGAAATTTTGTCAGTAGTTCATCGAATAAAACAAAAATGTTCATGCTAATCAAACAAATGCATATAAAATAGAAACCAGAGAAACTGCTAATTTCACAGTGGTCTCTTAAGAATTCAAGAATAGCTCAAGGAAAAAAAATCTTCTTGAATGAAAGAAACGCATGCATTTGCAAACAAAATCTTAGCATTGGACATTTTGCCTGTTCTTTTCAAAGCCTGTTTCCATGTTTCCATGTATTTTTTTCCAGCCTGCCAGAAAAGCACGAGAGCCTATTCCTTTGATTTATAAATAGCATTAAAAGCATTTTGATCCCTTGATCTTGATAGTCTGATCATGATAGTCATACTGGAGATATATCTTTGGAGCCAGCAGCCTATCTGAAAAAAAAATCTGCATTTGAAAACACACATTCATATTAAGGCAACTGCAATCTAAAGTGGTTTAAGAGATAGAAGAGCAAGAAGATAGAAGTTTTAAAAAGAAAAAACTTGAAAAGCTGTGTACATAAGCAAAGTGACACCACAAATTATTTGTTTGCGCACATACTCACCCATAATATAAGTTACAGGACTTGACACATGTCCTTCCTCGGCTGAAGTATTTGCATGAGAGACACTGTTCTGGGCCAGGACCCCAGCACCCTGCCTCCGAACACAACGGATCACAAACCATCTGCTCTTTAGCTGAAAACACACACACACACACACACACACACACACACACTAAGAAATAAAACACTGCAACTACGTAATTCATTTGGAACTTGGATATTTCCATCCTGCAAGTGTGGTAGTAAATTCATGGTAGCATGAGTACTTTTGTAGAACATTTATTATCCATGCTTCAGAAAGCATGTCAATTTATTTTACAACAGCTAAAAGGGGAATTATTTAGCTATAGTAGCAATTACTTCTAAAACGCTTGGCAGGAAAGGTTTTGGTAAGTTGTAAAAAAAAAAAAAAAAGATATTTTACCATTTAATTTGAGCTGTTCTGTGGGCAAATACAAGGCATATAATAATAATAATAAATATATATATATATATATATAATAAAATGTACAATAATCTTAATTAAATTAAAATGTAATAAAGGTCCTGAAACAGACCATTTAAGTTTTTCTCAGTTTCAACAATGTCTAAATGTGCAACATGACATCATGACTTTGCGTAAACATACACGCCACTTTCAAGTCAAGTGGCGTGTTATCTATACGCATTTTGAGCTATCAGCGTGTGTGTCCACGCCGAAATCTTTTGCGTGTATGTCTACGCCATTAAATGTCCGAGTGATTCCGCGTGTATGTGTACGCCGTTAAATGTCCGAGCGAAACAAAGCAAAATCTATATCTACATCTGTGGAGCGATATTTCTTTTCCTAGGATGGTAGGGGAAGACTCATAAATGGTATTAACCCCAGTGACGGGTAGGTTTAGGGACGGGGTTGGGGTAGGTCATATATCTATACATAATACAGTAATATAACGTTAAGTCAAAGGCGTTGATAAAAACGCTGAAAAGCGATTATGCGTGTTGATAGCACGCCAAAAATGGAAATACGAATTGGCGTGTCATACATACGCCATTTCATGAGATCAGTCTGAAATGTTTCCCAGTTTTAGCAATGTCCACAAAATAACTCAAATGAAATGGTACATTTTCTACACAATGTGTATTCAAAATGCACACAAAAGTTTTAATTTGTGCATAAACAAATAAATAAATAAATGTGTTCTACTGCAACACTGAAGGGAGATTGGTTGCACTTTCTTTTTGACGATGTCCGTGTTACAGTGTAGTTATACAATTAAGTAGGCCTACTAAGTAATATTAATGAATTACATGTACTTAGGGTTAGGAGTAGTGTTTGGTTACGGTTAGTTGCATGTAATCTACATTAAAAAGTCAATGCAGTAAGTACATGTAACAAACACTGTAAATTAAAGTGCTTGGCACTTTACAAAATCCCCAGGTAACACGTTGATGATCTTTAAGTGGTTAAATATGTTTGAAATTCACCGACCACATAAGACAGTTATCCTTGCTCCACAATTGGGCTTGTAAAAACATTGTCCTTCATGGATAAACACATTGTGTGTGTATGTGTGTGTGTATGGGTCTGAGCTGTTGGTCAGTTGTGTAGATCACCTCGCTTTGATCGATGGTGTGGAAAAGAGGCTAATGAATGAGCCGGCTAACAGAGCCATTGATCCCTCACGCTACAGACTTATTAGCACACTAATTATATCCAGCTTGGCGGTGTGCACTGGAAATGGCTCATCTTCATTAGCCCCACAGGTTTAACTTTCACAAGTAACATCTTACTTTAATGGCCTATTTCCAGTTTGTAGAACTGGAACTGGAAACTGGAACTTCAATGACTGCATTTGTGGTGTAAAGAGTTGTCATTTATTGAACATCTATGGGTTTGTAAGATAAAAAAAAAGAAGCTATTTTGGGGGCTACAATATTGTGAGATTAACAGTTTTGAGAAGTCCCTTCCAAGACTGAATTTATTTTTTCAAAAAAATTATAAAAACAGCAATATTCTGAAATATTATTACAATTTAAAACAAATGTTTGGTAACACTTTTACAAGTTTAGGGTCCAATTCTTACTGTTAACTAATTGCTTATTAGCATGCATATTACTGGGATATTGGGTGTTAAAAAAAAAAACATATTAATGCCTTATTATGCATGACCATATTCTACATCCCTTAATCTACCCAATACCTAGACTTAACAACTACCTTACTAATTATTAATAAGCAATAATTAGGTGTTTATTGAGGCAAAAGTCATAGTTAATAGTTAGTTAAGAACTAAATCTTTTTATTTGAATATTTTTTTTTAAAACAGTTGCACTGCTAAATATTTTTTTGCAAAACCATGATATATTTGATATATTCTTTGATGAATATAAAAGGTTACAAAATAACAGCATTTATTTGAAATAGAAATCTTGTTGGAACTTTATAAACATCTTTACTGTCATTTTTGATCAATATAATGCATCCTTGCTGAATAAAATCTTTCTGACTCCAAACTTTTTAAGAGAATAGTGTATATTAATTATATTAACTATGATGTATTGGTTACATATGAGTCTCATATCTAAATAATTTTCATATGTTCACTCACATAACATATTTATGTCAACTCAATATGTTAACATAACTGTCTTGAAGAATGAATGTGTGATAAATGCTGGTATGTGTATAAAATATGTTTTTCACTTAACTCTTAATAGTCATGCATCTAAATTGCATCCTTTGGGGCAAAAACACTTGGCTAAAGTGGACACTGAAAGAAAATGTTAACACTGTTAACACTATAAACGAATAACAATATAATATTCTGTTTCCTCACGGCTTGAACCGAACTGCAAGTGTATGATTCTCTTTTTACTTTATATCAATTACAAAATTCAATAAGACATCATAAGATACAATTAAATTGGTTGTATTTTAGCAACTAAATGACAGAATCTGATCCTCGATTTTCAGTCTAATTAAAGTCTGTTTTTGAGATTCGCTGGTCTTCGCTGGATATGGAAGCATTTCAAACAAATGCATCACTCTTGCATGCCAAGATTGTTATTCCTGCTTCAAACATCTTATTTAAATCACAGTTACTGAACAGATGGAGGTGTAGATGAGAGCAGCGATTGAACGGCACTCACTACACTCTCTGGTGTCCCTGTTGTTCTTGATCAGAGCTCTCTGGGTGCTGGTGCGGAACAGACCGGTCCAGTTCACTGTGTTGTAGAAGCAGAGCTGGCTGTTGTTGGTCATGTAGACGTTACCGGCGCTGATCTCTTTTAAAGACTGGAACTGCAGTGAAGAGATCCAGCGCTGCTTCAGGATCAGCAGAGAAATACCACTGAGAAGAAGACACAGACAGCAAAGACTGCTTCACTCTTCTTCACATTAATGCGGGATATAATTGAAGACGTCTCTGATAAATGACAACAGTGCTACAGGAACTATTTTAAGTGCCACATCCAGAGGGAGTGAACATTTTTCACTTGGATCTAATGTGAAACAAGGGGATTCTTAGAAGTAGTTAATGAGGACACTTCTGAATATATTACTAAAAGACGATTTAAATCATTTAGAGTATGAGCAAATCTGTGAAAAGATTCAGCCCAAAAATGAACAGGGAAAGTACACTTGGGACGGCGACACATATTTGCCAACCCTCTGAAACTACAAAGGCCTAATAGATTTCAACTAAACTAGTCCAGGAGTGAATTCTGGACATGATTTTGAGAGTTGGGTGAAGAAAAAAGGCTTTACCCATGGGAAGCATCAATCCACCCATCGGCCACATAACTGTGACACAAAGCAGTCCTTTTATCTATTCAGCACTAGGATTCTAGGCACAGGACTTTATGTACTTGAAGTAACCCCATGTTAAAACCTTTACAAATATATTAAATATATGGACTTGGGAACAAACTTGCCTACCCCTGCCATAACCGAACAGTCTACTAATACTCTAATGAGAGGTAGTTGACATGAAGTTACAAAGTTACTGCAGTGGACCATCGAAATAAAGTGACATACATTTCGAACTCCCTTATTTAAAATAATCAGGATTTATCATCATTTTAACAAAAAGCTAAGAACAAACACACATATGTCCACAACTGTTGTTTAACTTTTACCTATAAAGAGATCGCCCTCCGATGGTGGCAAGGTTCGAGAAAACGCCAAGATCTGTCATGTTTTCTGGCCAGGACTGGATGTTTAAGGAACCTACGAAAACAGAAAAGAAAAATATTCAGCTTTTGCTCGTTCAAATTATGCTTTTAAATACCCTGCGTGTGAAACAGATAAACAAGTTTGTTACTATGACAGTAGACATCGGCTGAGGATATTGCCACAGGTCCAGTGAGTACAATATTATTACTGTCTGTCTGACAGTACAATTACCCCATTATTTTGAAATGAAAGTATATTCGGGGAAATGATTGCGCTAATTAAAAGAACGGTTCCATTACCAATGAGCATCCTTCAGACGCACATTGTTTAAATGATCATTTTGTCGTCGTATTGGGTGAAATGTGTCTAAACGGAGGCTGTTGGTGCACAAGAGAGCAGTTTCTTAGTGCACGAGTTTCATTTGGAAAACGTTGCTTTGCTGCTTCACTCCATTAGCTATTTGGCACAATCATAAGAACAAGTTGAAAGTGACAAAAGGCTTTTAGCATGAGTCATAGTTCATTCCTTTGAGGCTTTATAAACAAATAAATATAGCATACCGCGTAAGGATTTGTGACAAAGATTATTCCCTAAGACAAAGGATTAAAAGTTAATGTATGAAGAAATAAAGAAAGTTAATGGTTTTACGCAAGGCTACACAGGTTTAATGGGTTGTGATGTGATGGATGGTGACTGTCGCTCACCTGTGATCTCTCTGACGGTGCGGAATACATTTAACCGATCAGGGTCCAGAGCTCTGATACCATGAAACATATCCCTATTAAAAATAATACACAAAACCAACCAGAAAAAGGGTTAGGCTATGTGTATGTGTACACATGTGCATCGGTGGCCTAAAGGCTGGAATACACTATGACTTTTAAAATCTGATCATACACTACGATATTTATTCTAAAATCGGCTCAAAATATCAAACATGTTTTGATGTGCTCATTATGGAAACATACTGAAGCTAAAAAATCTGAGTGTGTGCCCATCATACACTATGCTATTTCCTGTGTACTCCAGCTTATACAGATTTTACACTTCTACTGTACATGAGTTTCAGAAACATGCTCTTTGATTGCTTAAAGCTGCCTTAGAATCAAAGACCACGTTCACACCGCAAGCCAAAGTGCCCATTGGCAAATTTTTTTTTGCCATTGTTCACTTTACCTTCAAAATGAGACCCATATTAGACATGATATTGCAAAAATGATCCGAATGTGTAATGGCCATAAATAGCCATAAATAAATAGCCATAAATAGACTGGACTCACCCTTTGATGCCTGTGATGAGGAAGATGAGGTTGCCGTTGATCTTGGTGCAATTGACATACTTCTCAATGTTGCTGGAATCTACGGTTTGAGCCGTTTGAAGACTGCCGGTACCTATGCCATCACACACTGAACACCACAAATATAACCCATTTAAATAGCATTTACCATTTACACAACACAACTGAGAGCAAACATAACTGAAACCTTTGTTTACTACTATGGTGAGGACTTTGAAAAGTAAAAACCCCTGAAAAGTGGTCTTCTCTGATGTGTGTTGCTAACTAAAACTCGTTCTCATCAACTGAAATAAAAAAGCTGAAATAAAATAAAAGATAAAAATTGTCTTAAAAACAAATGAAAACAGAACTAAAATAAAATATGTTGAAGTACTAAAACTAAAATAAAAATAAATTAAAGCTAAAAATGGCGAAAGCACATAACAAAATTACTAAAAGTTAAACTAATATTATAACACCGAAATATAAAAATAAAAGCTAATTCAAACAATTAATAAATACTAAAAAAAAGTATAAATAATAATGAAACAACACTGCTTCTATGGTTGAAATAACTAATATAATAATAATAAGTTATTTTATATAGCGCCTTTCTGCAAACTCTGCAGAAAATCTACAGCATGTTTACCATATTCTTAATAACACGTTGACATACATTTCTCTGTTGTAAAATGAGTTTGGCTTTATCATAATTCACTGAAGAGAGAGAGATATTCAAACATCGACCGAGTCAATTTCTCCCTCCATTGTGAGCTTAATTATGATTAAATGTGAGTCATATTGATATTGACCCAGTTTGTTGTCCGGGCCCATTATCACTTCTGCTTATTTTGTGGTCATCCCCCATTAATCCTTTCTCTATTGAAAGAACAACACACTTTTGTTACAATCATTATAGAATTGACCAGTTATGTGTTGACTCTCTATATACTTCAAGGTTTTACACGTGCATCAGTACGCCTGCTTTTTAGACCATCTAAAACTAACAAGAGGCTGGTAACAAGTGCTGGTTTGGCTGATCTATGGGTAGACTCGAATGTATGGTTGATCCTGATGGTTAAGAAGCCTGGTTGAGACACCATAACACAAGCATCCCATCCTGATGACCAGTATCCAAAGCAACACATGCTGGTACTTTCATTTCAAAGGCAGTATAAGAAGGGGGAGATGGAACCAGTGAAAGGAAACTAAATGGGAGAAAGCGGAATGATTAATTTGGCGGATGTAGGAAAAAAAAAGTCCAGCTTTTCAGTTAAATAGCCAATTTCTTTTTTGATCATGTTTGTTTACTCTCAAATGTGGATATGCATTTGCTAGATCAGCTTGAAAAATATACATGAACGTTCTGTCGGGTCAGTAAGATTAAGATGTTTCTTTTTAAAAACAAATCAATACTCCTAATTTTTTTTTTTTTACTCCTAATTTAATTTATCAAGAGTGACAGTAAAGAAATTTATACAACATATTTCATTTCAAATAAATGCTGTTCTTATGAACTTTCTATTTATTAAAGAATCCTGAAAAATATGTATCACTATTTCCACAAATAAAATTTAAGCAGCGCAACTATTTTTAACACTGATTTTAGCAAGAAATGTTTCCTGAGCAGCAAATCAGCATATTAGAATGATTTCAGGCGATTTCATATTTTAGGAAGACTGGAGTAATGATGCTGAAAATGCAGCCTTGCCATCACAGGAATAAATTAAATGTCAAAATATATTAAAATTGAAAACCATTATTTTACATTGTAACATTATTTCACACAATTTTCACCATGTTTTTAAGCAAATAAAAGCAGCCTTGGTGAACTTTTTTTTTTTTTTTTTTTAAGAAAAAAATCTCACTGACCCAAAGTTGTGAATGGTAGTGTACTTTTTTGTAGTATTATTTGACCTAAGGAAGCGACATTTACTATTACCTGCAGAGAAAATGGTTGCCTAGGGACATTTTTGCATCATCATGTTCATAATGTCAACATGAGAACAACCTTTATGAATAGCACTGACCTTTCGGACAGATGTCAGTGCACGGGATGCACATCTTGATGTGATTTTCCTCCACTTCCATCTTGTTGCTCGGACAGGCTCTGACACAAGAGCTGTGATCCACCACAAAATTATCTGAGTTCCAGACAGCAAAATATTAGAGTATAAATGAGACTGCTGTGCAATGATAGTCTGAGATGAAAAAAAAGATAATAACGCAAAATGGAAATGGAATCAGGCCAAATCGCCCATACTTTATGCACATGAAGAGTAGTTACCATGGGAAAGTGTTTGTTTGTTAGATTAGTAATGCCGTCCTCCATGAAAGCTAACTTACGTGGGCATTTCTTGACACAGAAAGCTCCAAATGTGTATTTGGCGTTGGCATTGTGTTCGAGCTGGAAGGTTGTTGGATTGTAGACGAATGGCTGAGGACACTGTGTCACACAGGCCCCGCTGTCATTAAAGTTGGTACAAGCCTGAGAAACCAAAAAAAAAAAAAAAAATCACGTACATATGTGTTAGATCGATAAAACATGACTATAAGAAAGAGAACAGATTAATTTTCAAACAAAGTGAGCAGGCTCTTGTCATTGCCTTTATTACCCTTTTAAATCATGCAGAATCAGGTAAAAATAAAGAGTTGACATACAAAGCAGTCTGTGTCTTTGGGTCCGAAACAGCCTCCTGCACATTCCCGGTGGCAGCAGTTACTGACGTACGGACCAAAACAGCGTCCATCACACTGCTCTGCACACACCGTCTTTGTCACTGTATGATTATGAATATATAGATAGAGGAAGATTTAGAATAAATAGTTTTCTATAAAAAAAACTATACCAAAGGCCAATAAACAATCAATACTTCAATCTATCAATACATCTATCTATCTATCTATCTATCTATCTATCTATCTATCTATCTATCTATCTATCTATCTATCTATCTATCTATCTATCTATCTATCTATCTATCTATCTATCTATCTATCTAATCTATCTATCTGTCTGTCTGTCTGTATCTATCTATCTATCTGTCTGTCTGTCTATCTGTCTGTCTCTATCTATCTATCTGTCTGTCTTTCTGTCTGTCTCTATCTATCTATCTATCTATCTATCTATCTGTCTGTCTATCTATCTATCTATCTATCTATCTATCTATCTATCTGTCTGTCTATCTGTCTGTCTATCTGTCTGTCTCTATCTATCTATCTATCTATCTATCTATCTATCTATCTATCTATCTATCTATCTATCTATCTATCTATCTATCTATCTGTATGTCTGTCTGTCTGTCTGTCTCTATCTATCTATCTATCTATCTATCTATATCTATCTATCTATCTATCTATCTATCTATCTATCTAATCTATCTATCTGTCTGTCTGTCGGTATCTATCTATCTATCTGTCTGTCTATCTGTCTGTCTCTATCTATCTATCTGTCTGTCTTTCTGTCTGTCTATATCTATCTATCTATCTATCTATCTATCTATCTATCTATCTATCTATCTATCTATCTATCTATCTATCTATCTGTCTGTCTATCTATCTATCTATCTATCTATCTATCTATCTATCTATCTATCTGTCTGTCTATCTGTCTGTCTATCTGTCTGTCTCTATCTATCTATCTATCTATCTGTCTGTCTATCTATCTATCTATCTATCTATCTATCTATCTATCTATCTATCTATCTATCTATCTATCTATCTGTCTGTCTATCTATCTATCTATCTGTCTGTCTATCTGTATGTCTGTCTGTCTGTCTCTATCTATCTATCTATCTATCTGTCTGTCTGTCTGTCTGTCTGTCTGTCTGTGTATCTGTCTGTCTCTATCTATCTATCTATCTATCTATCTATCTATCTATCTATCTATCTATCTATCTATCTATCTATCTATCTGTCTGTCTGTCTGTCTGTCTATCTATCTATCTGTCTGTCTGTCTGTGTATCTGTCTGTCAATTCAATTCAATTCAAATTGCTTTATTGGCATGACTGTATATATGACAATATTGCCAAAGCTTGGAATACATAGGAAAATTATAAAGACATCAACATACTTGAATATTATAACATAAATTAAATTTAAATGTACAAATTAAATTAATTGTACAAGTGAACAGTGTAACAGATTAGAATATCTGTGAACATTTTGATACCACAGTGTTTTAACATACATAAACACACACACATTACTGAAGTCACTGTGGTGGGCAGTAGGGAAACACCCTGAGGTCACACACACACACACACACACATACACACACACACACACACACACACACACACACACACACACACATTCACCTGCTGTCTCTCAGGCTGTGGCACACATACACGTATCTGGCAGCCAGTGTTGCGGTCTGTCCCTCTCCTAGTAGGATCTTTATCTGTTCTACTTCAGTCATGGCTGTAAAGCCCTGTATTAAGTTATTAATTTTATTGAAGTAGAGGTCTCTGACTGAGCTGTATCTGTGACAGTGAAGGAGGAAGTGTATCTGTCTGTCTCTATCTGTCTGTCTGTCTATCTGTCTGTCTGTCTCTATCTATCTGTCTGTCTATCTATCTATCTATCTATCTATCTATCTATCTATCTATCTATCTATCTATCTATCTATCTATCTATCTATCTATCTATCTATCTATCTATCTGTATGTCTGTCTGTCTGTCTGTCTCTCTGTCTATCTATGAATTATATCGGCCAGTTAACTTAGAAGGAAGAATTATAATACAGTAAACATGAATAAGAACAAATAATTTGAACAATATATACTCATGATTCACTCAAAATTGATCAAATGATTCACTCAAAATAGTCAAATATCTACAACTCTCCTTGCTAATATACTGGCCATTCAAATCATATACTTAGCATTGAAAAGTGTCATACTTGAGAAAAGGCACGCACACACTACAAGATAACCGGGCCGGGTTTGGGCCAAATTCTTCCCTTCTGGCAATCCTAAGGTAAAATGCCGATTATCTTGATGGTTCTACAGGTTATTTTATCAGATTTTCCTGTGGTGTGATGTGTGTTAAGAGTGATTGAATCATTGAAAAAGCACGCCGGGGTTGCACCGATCTCAAATTGTAAATATCCAACATGTTGAATATTTACGATCTGAAATCCATTTGTGTGGGCGGAACCCCGCGGACAAACGCGCATGGATCCTGTAGATTGTCGTGTGGAACAAACAGATACACAATCAGGAAACGAGCTGACGGAAGCATAACACGACTTCATTAAAATCTTTTTCTTTTTTTTTCCTGTGAATTTTCTGTTCAAGCAGTCCAAACATATTATCATCACATTCACTATGTATTCTTGCCCGTTGTCCTATGTAAGTCACATTTGACCACGAGAGATTTTGTGAGATCTCTACTTGTTTGTGAATGGAATCTAGTGGGTGTTGTGTTTGTGCTGTCTTGTTCACATCACAGCCCTCCACACACTATAGGGGGGGAAAAAACTGTTAAATCTATTCTTTTTTTTTTTGCGTCATGTTTTTGGTCTCTTACATTTAGAAAATCTGATAAGATTTACAAAACATTTTACTGGGGGCCAGCCTTTAGTTGTTTGGTTTATATTCATGCAAATGCACTCTTTCTAACAGCTGAATTAGTTAAGTGAGGTAGTGTGCAAAACCAAAACAGACATAGCCAAATAACAAGTTTGTCACTCTGTCTTATTAGACATCAAACTCCATGACTTGGAATAGTTCACGGCGTCTGCAGCAGTCTGAAATGTCTTGTGCTGTTAAAGTACATCACTCTGACACCCAGAAGAGAATATGATCACTGTCTCTCTCTGTCCTTCTTTTTGTCACTCTTTTATTAAGCTCTAATTACCACCCACACTATGAGCTGTATCACCAGCAGGTTCCAGACAGTAGAGATACCCTGATAACCCTTACCAGCTGATTATCACAGCTATCGGCCCAGAGGCTCAAACTGACAATAACAGACAGCACACCTTTGCCTTTTATTAGAAATGGTGTCAGAAATGAAAATTCATAATTTCAGAACCACGTTGAAAAACAAAGAAAAATAAAGAAAAAAAAACTCTGATTACATATGACTGTAGCCACAAACCAATCAAATGGAAAAATCTGTCTGGGAACAACAGTCAATTAAGTAAATTACTAGCATTCAAAAGTGCTTCTTAATGCTCAAAATATTAATAATGATTTGATCAATCATTCCCAGAGGAATGTGTGAGGTCTCAATTTTTTGTTCTCTAGACAGTTCATCTGTAAACCAACTTCAATTTCACTCTGTTTGTCACACAAAGCTAGTATTGGCTTTTATAAAAATATATCTATTTATAATGCACATGCAGTCATGTAGACTTATTATGTCAATTGTATGATATGTTTACAGCTATGCTTACTTACCAATTGTCTATAAGGAACAATCAGGGATGAAGTAAAAATAAAAATAAATACAAAATTCTCCTGGGCTATTAATTTTCTGGGGTCGATGAACACACCAGTGCGTTCTAGTAGAATTTTTTTTTTTTTTTGACAGCAGAAAAATCGACTTAAAATACTCTATAATTTATGGTCATACAGATGCATCATTCGAAACTGTAAAGGGTCTACTTTTTCTACTTCAAAATTGTAAACATGTACATGTTGCTGACATATTATTGTAGCCCAGTTTGTACAGTGTAATCAGACTTTAGCCATTTATAAGCAACTTAAAATAGCACAAATGTCAGGGCATGTCAAAACCCCAGAGAGTTAATCGGTCATTTCAATTCTTAAAAGCGCTAAATTGTCATTAAAGTGTGGAAGACACAATGCGGCTGTGGTATATTGAGGACGTACAGTAGATAGGATGGATAAAAACTCACAGCTTTGGCACTGGTCTTCCTGGTGACCCCAGCAACGTCCATTACAAGATCTGTGACACCGTCTGCCTGCGGAAATAACCCCAAATAATCACCCAAGACCTTTTGTGTTCCGTATAAAACTAATCGGTCAGATGTGTCAACAAAGATCATTTATAAATAGTTCAGACACTAGATTTGAATTGTATTTGTCTGAACCTGTAACATGTATACCACATCTTGTATTGTACTGGTATTAAATGTATTCAATCATCCTTATAATTGTACTACTGACAGCTGGGGTTTTTTTCTGCACAGACTAGTTCCCTATTGTAGATGTAATAGTTTTCGAATTGAGTTTGAAAGACCTGGATTAATATTCATGGAATAAATTATTGGAAAATTAACTGTTACAATTACAATGTGTAAAAGAAAGGGTAAAAACAGAAAGACCACCTGCTCCATCTTCAGGGTTTTCATACTAATAACATTTTATTTTTTAATAATAATAATTATAACAGCAATAATAATAATAATAATAATAATAATTCTTTATAATAAAAAAATTTATAATAATACAAATTGTTAGTCATAAAAAGTCATGAATCTTATGTTTTGATGATATGAACATTATTGTTTTAAACAGTGTCAAATCTTCTCAGTGGTACTCACATGTGTTGCCACTGTTGTTGGACGGAACCACCAGAAGTTCAGACCGCGGGTTCTTGATTATGTCATGCCAGTGGATGGTGTCAGCATGGCACAAGAACTTGTTCTGATCCACATACACGCCTCCATTCAGGATTTCTGTACAACATTTTAGAACATACGCTTATTATAATAAGAATATTTGCTGAAGGAGCTGAAAAATAACTTGGATTATTACATTTGACTTCTTTTTGTGAAATATTATGGTTGAAAAGTGTTCTTGTGCTATTTTTCTTCAACATAAATGGCACTTGGATTTATATTATTATCTATAAACAATTACATTTATAATTTCGTTTTAAGAGTCACTTAACTGTTCAACTAGTTTTTGGGTCTCAGAGTAGAAGTAAGATAACAAAGAAATTATTAACATAAACTTTTTACATTTTTCAACTAAACTACTTGAAATCATTTTCTTTAATATAAATGAAATAAAATATAAATATTAGATTAAAAACTTAAACTAAATCTTAAACTTTGCCTGGAATTTTTTTTATTATTATTTTTCTAAAATTACTAAACTAAAAGGAAATTAAGCTAAATATAAGCATTGAACTATTAAAATATTGAATGACAAACACACATAACAAAATTACTTAAACTGAAGATGTAAAAAAAAAGGTAATTCAAAATATTAATAAATACTATAATAGTATATAGTTTATAAAATAACACTGATACAAAGGAGCATATTTCCATCATGCTGTACTCCACTCCATTCCTAAACTGACAGAGCAGTTCACATTGATACTGTCTGTGCGTGTCGTTCATTGATTTAATCTTTTCTCTACACAGCAGCATACACTCATAATCTCAAAAGTTTCTGTTATCCTGGAAAGTTTCTATCAGGGTTCCCTGTACCATTTAACTGGTTGGAAAGTGTCACGCTGGTTGTGATGAGCATGCGAGTATGACATGCAGAGATACGCGTCCAGACAGTTCAATTTATCAGTCTCAAGCTCAGTGTGCAAATACAATAATTAAGAAAAAAACAAAAAAACTCATTTTTTGGCATCTCATTTTGACGTCCTCTACCATAAACGCTTCAGCTTTTATCAAGATCAGCCTGTGTCCATGACTGTCTCTCTGGTTCCAGGCTCCCCTCTGAGAGTGTGAAAAGGTGTATCAGACACCTTGCATGGTTGGATGATTGTATTGTACTGCGCTATATACAAACACAATGAATGAGTCTGGATGAGTACCAAGTCTGATTTCTTTCCAAACACAAACACACATACTAGCGGTTTTCTATTTGGCTTGGGATCCTTTTTCAGTCTAAGTTAATGTTTTTGTTGCTGTTTATTTGCTTTGTTTTTGCTCATTTTATGGTCTGCCAGTTGGAAAAAAAAATCACAATGCTGAAATCTATTTATTATTAATATTTTAGGTTTAATTACCTTCAAATTCAGTGTAGTGACCCTGTGTTAAACGTCCAGAAACACACCATTAGCTTTCATACTGGCTTCCTCGTAACCAGACCAACATCTCTTAGTCCATACAAACTGACGCAGGGTTTATGTGTATTAACACTTTACCCGCCATTTACGGAATTTTCCGGCAGTCCGTGTTTTCACTCTCACTGCGTCTGAAATCGTATCAAAATAGAAATCAAAATAGTAGTATGTCTGAAAACGTAGTCGAAAAACAGTAGGTGAAAAGTCCCTGGATGGCCTACTACTTCCACTGAGATTCTGAAGTGTGCAATCGATGGACACTTTACTATCCCATGAGGCCTCGGGAGAGGATTTATGAATGGCAGTGAAGTGATACAACTGACGCTGGTAACAACATGGCGGATGTAGTACGTCCATACTACACATGTACATACTATAAAAAACATACTTTTTTAACGATCGCAAAGTAAATTCAAATGTAGTTCCTACTCAGACAGAACGCGATTTCAGACGCATCATGTTATGCGGTAGGGGGCGCTATTAGGCATCTTCTGAAAGAGTACATCTCCGGATCAAAACACAGGCGAAGGGGAAGCAGAAACAAGCAATACAATCATTGCTTATGCACATGTAAAACAAAGCGATCATCGATATTGCATGTTCAGATATTCATTTAACAAAATATTCTGGGCTATGAAAGTTTTGTGAAAATTATCAAAAATACTGGTGCTGGCTGGCAAGTTAAAAAAACAAACAAAAAAACGCTGGCAGGGAAAGAGTTAATAGACTGAAAATAAAATAGCTGAACACAAGCTTAACTTAGAAAGATCTTGAAGAAAGTACAGAGGCGGGTCTCTTCTTTGACAACAATAACTAAATTAAAAATGCATCACTTATGTCTCTAAGTGGAGTGCAGGAGGAAAGATCTTACAGATACATTATATATAAAACCTGCAAATGGACTGAGATAGGGTTAGGGTTAATCTTATAAACTTGCTTTTAACTCTTGCTTTAGGGTTAGGGAATTCTTTTTTATTATTAAATTCTGCAGAATTACTGTTAGAATTACTGTTAGAATTTACTCATTTACTCACTTTTGGGTTATTTACTGACCCCAGTGTTTATTCATAATATATGTACACAGAGTGTAAGCTTAGATTTTTTTGTATTACACATGATTATGAATAATAAATCGAGTTTTATTCCCACCACCCACACCCACCTTTCCAGTTAATGTAACAGATACTATCCTTCTTAGCCTAAAAGAGCTCAAATTTGTCACTACATAAAACTCTAAAAGAAATCCCAGTGTTTTCCATTAGTTTCTTTGACAGCAGTGGAGAGATTGTTTTGCATGACAAATGTGAGCGTATCTGAGAGCGCAGACTGTGTGGAGGAGGGCCTCCTCATGGATATCCGTAATTGTGTTGAAGCCTTCTGATTAAATTTCAGCCATCTTAAATGTTATTGCTTCACAGTGAATCAGTGTGACAAATGTGATGCATTGTCCCGATAACTGAAATAATATGCAAGAAAAAAAAACTGTTAAAACTTTCTAAAAGATTGCTTTGCTTTGTTTTTGCTGTCTTTTTGACTGACAGCTCAGGATCTCCCAGAGTTATAAACTGCAAATGGTCAATAAATCATAGGCCATAAATCAAAAGATACGACATGTGGAGTTCATTATGGAAAATCTATCTATCTATGTAAAATGAGCATATCAGGACTGTAGTTTATAGACTGTATATATATTAAAACTATGTGTCAGATAGTAATGCTACGAAATACTACTGTTCAAAAGATTGGGGTCAGTAAGATTTTTATATTTTGTATTTTTTACATTTTAAAATGTAATTTATTTCTGATGGCAAAGCTGAATGTTCAGCATCATTACTCCAGTCTTCAGCTTCACTTAATCCTTCAGAAATCATTCTAATATGCTGATTTGCTGCACAAGAAAAATTTTTTTCAAGAAAATCTACCTTTAGAACAGTGGTTCTCAACCAGTGGAATGGATCGCACTAGGGGGCCTCAAGATTAAAAAGTAAACGTGTTTAAATTAATAAATTATTAAATTAATAAATAGGTTATTTTAAAATATTAATAATAATTTAACTTTAATTAGGTTATTTATTATGTTATATATATTATAGAAAATATTTCGTATAATACAAAAATAATTTGAGTTATTTATTTCCCCCCCTCAATAACTAGTTACTGAAACTTCTGAAATCACAAAAGGAATCATGGTTAATTGAATATACAATCATTCAATATATCAAAACCTCAGTTTCTATCAATAATAAAAAAAAAAGTTTGATAGCAGTTTTGTCATAATTACAGCAGAAATTCTGGAAATAGTCTAAATCAGGGAGCCTTCGAATATTGTCTTGGACAACTGGGAGCCTTTGAGTCAAAAACATTAACCGCTTTTCCACCATCGGGCCAAACCGTTCTCGTTGCTTAACTGAACCATTCCCTGCCGATCCGGCCCAGCCAGTACGGATATGGTTTTCATTTTCCATGTGGGGCTGATAACGGTCACAACGGATTGTAACACAAATGCGTCAATGTAAATAGCTACCGCGTTATGGAGGATGATCATATATTAATATTAATCTTCTTATTAACTTGTGTTTATTTTGCTCAAATAGCACGGTTGGCCATACAGCTACAGAGAAACTGGTAGCCAGGCAACAGACAAGTGACCAATCCTGAGTGGCGACGTCACTACACGCATTCTACCAGCACCGTCCTGGGGTGTGTTTCCCAAAGCCAACTATGGTCACAAGCTCCGTCATTCCCAATAGGGTTCAATGGAAATTGCGATCATTGTTGGCCAACGATGCTTTTGGGAAACGTTTTATCCAACCGAGAAAGGTTTGTAATCATGCTGTGCCAAACAAAACTCAAATGCAAATATAACAGGAACCGTTCCTTACCCTCCTTAGAACCATCCGGCCCGATGGTGGAAAAGCGGCTATTGAGAATCGCTGCTTTAGAGGGTTTGACTGACTTGCCAATATCATAGAGTCACTTTGCAACTCCTTATTACATTTCCCTAACATCCACAGAGCCTGAAATGGTTGCTGAAGAAAACACGGCCCTATTAAAATGAGAGATGTGCGGAGTCACACTATTTATATAAAATAAATGCTAATGAAATTTCCAGTTCCATCTTGCTGTCGCTTAGTGCCACTTCCACTAATATCCTCTTCAGACTAGCAACATGATCCACGGCACTCCATCGCCCCAGCCCTCCACCCGTCCACATTCACGAAGCGTCTCATTATTCAGCCTCACAGGGAGGGGAGTTTGGCTTGTGGAGATAGCGGAGCGTCCCAGAAATCACACCCAACAGCAGGGTCTCAGGAGGGCAGGCTGGGAGGGTTGGTGGAGCGGTGATACGACTGCCATCTCACAGACCATTCTGAAAAACCAAAGCTCACAGGTGCACCTTACATTTCTCACCTATTCCTTTCATGTTTGGTGAAAGGTAGATTTTTTTCGACCTGCAGGTACCTTTGAAATCAGGTCCACAGACAAAGATCAACTGAAATACTGACATTACAGCTTTCCAGCGAACTGTACTGATAATGAATACGGGACATGAGGCGGCTTGCTTTATCCATTACACTACAAAGAGTTTGATAGAATGAATGCCATCTCGATTACGGAGACCCCGAAGAGTTCAAAGCAAACTGA